AGCAATGATCACATGACCAGTTGTAGGAATGTGGACAGTAATAGTATGAGTAATTCTTCCTTATTTGGTTATGAACATTTGTAGATATATAACCAAATATTATTTCCTTTCCTCTCTTATCCCCTATTGTCTAACTTTAGATGTATTAATAATAGTTAACTTCATATCACAGTGTTTGAATTACAGAATACAAAGGAAGAGTGAACCTCACCCAAAGACTCTATATCCTTTCCTGGGGAAAGAGCATATTTTCCGTTGTACGCGGGTTAATGTTTCATGTCAGGTGGAAGTATGACTTTGTTATTGTCTTTATTTGAAGAGTAAGTGTGATTTAAGGAACTGTGTGTGGGTGCCAAGTTGATAAGGGGTGACCTGTTATGGTCAGTTTTATGCATCAACTTGGCTGGACTACAGTTACTTAATCAAACACTAGGTGTTGCTGTGAAGATATTTTGTAGATGCAACCAAAATCCATATCAGTTAACTTTAAGTAAGGGAGATTAGCCTAGTTAATCTGGATGGGCCTGATTTAATCAGTTGAAAGGCCTTAAGAGTGGAGCTGAGGTTTCCCTGAAGAAGAAAAAATTCTGCCTGCAGATGGCAGTTTCAGCTCATGCCCGAGAATGTTAGCCTGCCCTTCCTGATTTCAGATTATCTGGACAGTCCACAATCACGTAAGTGATTCACTGCAGTGAATCTTTATATGTATTACTGTTTCTGTCCTCTGGTTAAACACTGACTGATGTAACAATCTTCAGCCTTTCCCCTTCCAGGCCTCTGACTAGACCAGTTACCCCAGGAGTATGATTATTCTTCTGTTCAACAACTTCTCCTTCCACATGAAGTGGATGACCAAATGCAATGCCTGAAGTCCCACCCATTAAGAAAAATGTCCCTTGCCAGTGCCTTTCAAAGCCAGCCCTGTGTGAAGCTGCTGTGTAACGCTGCTGCTTTCCATTTCAGTTTGCACCCACATAGAGAGCCAACAAACTGTAAGCCAAGCTCCGCCTTTTTCTCTCTCTCTCAGCTGGTTATATGGGACTACCATATGTCCCTATGAGTGATCTGAGAGAGGGACACTGGTGGAATTGTGATGGGTGACAAGCTCATGTAGATTGTGTGTGCCCTCTAGTACTTCTGTGTTCAATCATGAGTGTATTATTCTCATTTTTTTTGAAGATTGCAGTGAGACATCTGACGTTATCACTTTGTGGTTCTGACAGGACCTAGTTCACAATAAGCAACCGAGGATGCACGGTGACTTGATTTCACATGGCCAAGGATTCTATCTCCACAGGACCCAGTAGCATGCCAGGAGCTTATTTTCAAAAGGTGTGTAATTATCTGCTCTAGATGACATGTCCTTGCTCATTCTGTATTGGTTTCTCTGATTGGGGCTTGCCATGAGCTCCACACTCTATCGTTTTCCATCCGTCATATCTTCGACAGTATACAGAATTTCAGATCATATAGCTCAAGTGGCAGGGGTACTTCACCTCAGCCAGGACCTGCCTCACAGCCCTTTTCTGCACTAGGCTCTACTCAAACCTGGCAGCATTCTTTGTCACTCAGTATATGGGTATTCTAAGGTGTTGAATGTGTGGCTTTCAGATCACAAAGAAGTCTACCTGTGTACTTTCTTCTTAGTACTAGAGGATTCATAATACAGCAATTTGTCTTTTGCTTTACTGAAGTGGCAAGTCTTTGAATCTTTGTAGGTTTTTCTTATCCTCTGGGGAACATCCTTTCCCCATGCTCTCTCATCAGATTAATGTCATTGATGTAATTAATTACTGTGATGGTCTGCAGGGTGTTTAGATGGTCCAGATCTGCTCATGCTATATTTTGACAGAGGTAGTAAAATCATGAACACATATTTTGTCTCTCCTTTGCAAACTCTTTCTGATTCTCTTTCCTCACTGAGATAGAAAATAATCGTCATTAAAATCAATGACTGTATACTATATACTGGGATCCATATTAATCTACTATAGTAAAAATACCACTTCCAGAGGCTACTACTAATTGGTAGAGCTTGCAGTAGTCTACAGCCGTCCTCCAGTTACATTCACAGACTGGTGTATGAAACAGGCATATGATAGTGAGATATAATAGTGACCGCCAACTGTATGTCCTTTTGATCTTTAGGGTGGCACTGTCTCTCCCATTTCCCTGGGACGTGATACAGTTTTTTATCACCGTTGTAGTTTGAGGGGACAGTGGGTAATCTCAGAGATTTTGACTTGGTCTTTTCCACTATGATAGCTCTTATACTACAGGCCAAGGACACAATATGTGGACTAACTCCAACTCCAAAGGAGGTCAATACTGTAAATTCAGAGACCCATAAAATGACCGTCAGGTGGTCTGTGGACCCAATAGACACATTGTAAGCTAGACTTTGGCCAAGAATCCATTTATTACCTGCCATCACATATGCCTGTTCTAACACGTGGACCATGACAATGCTTTAAGGCTCTGGGTGTCATTGTCAACTCAGACCTTCTGTTTGGTAGTCTTTAGGATGTCTGGGTATTCTCCTTTCCAATGTACAGTTGATCAAGTAAATGGTCATAGGTGCCCATGGCAGAAAGACTAAGATGTACCTGAATGATCCCTGACTCGTGTTATTCATGCCCTTGTGTTATCCCCTTCCCTTGAGTGTGGGCTGACTTAGCAACTTATTTCTATGCAATAGAATATTGCAAAGGTCATAGGAAGTCACTTCCCTTACTAACTTACAAAAGATTGTGACTTTTTTCTTTCTAGAAGCCTTTTTATTAACTCGCCTTTGCTGGCTTTGGTGTAGCAAGATGCCATATTGGAGAAGCTCAAACAGCAATGAACTGAGGGCGGCCCCTGGCCAACAACCAGCATGACACCGATGTCCTCAGTCTAATAGCCTGTAAGGGAGTAAATCCTTCAAATAATCATGTGAGCTTGAAAGTGATCCTTCTCCAGTTGTGCCTTCAGGTAAATCCTGGCCCAAACCTTGATAGGCAGCCTTATGAGAGACCTTGAAGTAAGAGGACCCATCAAGGCTATGCTTAGATCCTGAACCTCAGAAGCTGTGAGATAATGACTGTATGTTGCTCTAAGCTGCTAAGTTTGTGGTAGTTACACTGCAACAGATAATACAGTATAATAAAGCGCCTGATACCATTTTTGATGTTTGCCTGATTGTCCCCTCTTTTGGTGCAGGTGAGAAGTTCAAACCACACAAATCCCAGCCTGTGCATGGGAACCCTTACATAACCGATCCCCTAAGCACAATAAAAACCCAAGTCAGTCTCCCCTCCCTGATCTCTCATTTTGAGACCAGCGTGGACTACAGCCTTGCTCTCCCCAGAAAGTTTCATTATGTGGGTAATAAACCTTTCCATACCCTCTTGGTGGCTCAGTTTTGGCACTCAAACCAAATTTTGGGTTGGGGGTCTATCCCACATCTCTAGGGCAGCTGCAAACTGGAGCAGTGAGCATAGCATCTAGGCAATGACCATTACTACCGGGGGTTTTTCTTCTCATGCTTTGGCTTGCTAACTAGCTGTGCTGCTTTTTGACAACTGTCCATTTTTAGTTGCTGCTGGCTAGAAAGCATGCTGTTTGACCTGTGCTGCTGTGTGCTGTGTGTGAGTTTATGCTTTGAGCTTTGCGGATTTATGGCGTAGCTGCTGAGTCCTACAATCCTGTTATAGATTTAACTGACCTAAGTCACAATTTTTGATAATTGGCATTTACAGGAATGAGACTGAGGCCCTCCTTAAGTACCCCTGGGTCATGTGTCTTGCCCAAACCTATCTCAGATTCAATCAGATGTCTCAATTCCAGCATAAGTAATTACTGATGCTAGGCTCAGGGGAATGACTTGTACCCTGAGACCATTAATTTTGTTTCAACCACACATTGGCCCCCATTCTGAAGTTCACTCAAGAGAAAGACTGATACGCTGTGCAAGATTCAGGCCCACTGGTGATTGCTTCTGTAAAGGAAGAGCAGTCACCATGTGGCATGCTAAAGTCTACACTCCAAAACCAGATGGCTCACTAAGACCCTGCAAAATACCTTTGCTGGTGCTGCTGCCTATGCCTCTGTCAGCAAAACAGATTCTGATCCTCAGGTTATAGGCAAAAAACACCCATGGAGGGGCTGGCCCCGTGGCCGAGTGGTTAAGTTCGCGCGCTCTGCTGCAGGCGGCCCAGTGTTTCGTTGGTTCGAATCCTGGGCGCGGACATGGCACTGCTCATCAGACCACGCTGAGGCAGCGTCCCACATGCCACAACTAGAAGGACCCACAACGAAGAACATACAACTATGTACTGGGGGGCTTTGGGGAGAAAAAGGAAAAAAATAAAATCTTAAAAAAAAAAAAAAAAAAAAAAAACACCCATGGAACCCTGTGGCAAAGTTCCTTATGAAAAGTGGCCCTGAAAGCTTTATCCTCACCCCTTTTAAAGGGCTGTAAGACAGTATCACTCTACTAGAAAACTGTAAAATAAAACAAGAAAGACTCTGGGTTTGATTGAGGGCCACAGATTATCAACACTTAGAAAGGAGGGTGGGGAAATCAGTATCCAGAGTTGCTAAAACATGTTACCTAAGGTGTCTTTTTGTGTGTGTGTGTAAGGAAGATTGTCCCTGAGCTAACATCTATGCCAATCTTCCTCTATCTTATATGTGGGACACCGCCACAGGATGGCTTGGTGAGCGGTGTATAGGTCTGCACCTGGGATCTGAACCTGCAAACCCCAGGCCGCTGAAGTGGAGCACACAAACTTAACCACTACACCACCAGGCCAGCCCCCTAAAGTGTCCATTTTAAACAAAAAACTATGAGACATAAAAAGAAATAGGCCCCTCCATGACTATTTACTAAGTGAAAAAGACAAATTGCCATGAAGTATGTCACTATAGGAGGTAAAACCTCTTCCACACACATGCAGTAAACCTTCATATGTGCAGGTATGTCAGAGCATGAAGAAAGGAGCAACACACACATATTGGATATCTCAGGCATTTGTGGGATGGGGAGAAATTGTTTTCATTTTATTTTTGCCACACTTCACTGGTTTCCACAAAAACAAACAATTATATAAAATTTATTTCCAATAGTGGTCACTACAATAACTCGGAAACAACATTGAAGATAGCAATTTTTATCTTTTAATAACTTTTCCATTTTCCCACTTGAAAAAATAAATTTGACCTTCAAAGTTTACTGAAATAAATCAATACTAATGAAATTCAGTATTTTACCAAGCTTTCCCTTAAAAAAAAAAAAGAAAATGTGTAATTCCAAAAGTCATTTCAGGATGCTAGACTAGCATGGGGGGAGAAGAGAGGAAACCTTACTGGCGTCTCAACAGTATGAAGTGTCTGATGTAGATTAAATTCTAAGCTATGATTAAAGGCCTTCCCACACTCATAAGGTCTCTTCCCAGAATGAATTCTCTGATGGTGTGAGAAGCTTGAATGATAGCTAAAGGCCTTCCCACATTCCTTACATTCATAGGGCTTCTCACCGGTATGAATTCTCTGATGTTGAATAAGGTGTGAATGAAGTCTAAAGGCCTTTCCACATATCATACATTCATGAGGTTTCTCACCAGTATGAATTCTCTGATGTCTTTTGAGGTGTGAGCACTGTCTAAAAGTCTTCCCACACTCCTTACACTCATAGGGTTTCTCACCAGTATGAATCCTCTGATGCAGGGTAAGCTGTAAGCCATCGCAAAAGGCCTTCCCACATTCACTACACTCATAAGGTTTTTTGCCAGAATGAATTTTCTGATGGTGAGAGAAACTTGAGTGATAGCTAAAGGTCTTTCCACATTCTCTACATTCATAGGGTTTCTCACCAGTATGAATTCTCTGATGTATGGTAAGGTGGGAGCGATGCCTAAAGGTCTTTCCACATTCTTTACATTCGTAGGGTTTCTCTCCAGTATGGAGCCGCAGATGTTCAGTAAGTTGAAAGCCACGAATAAAAGCCTTCCCACATTCCTTACATTCATAGGGTTTTTCACCAGTATGAAGTCTCTGATGTTGAGTAAGTTGTGATCGCTGCCTAAAGGCCTTCCCACATTCCTTACATTCATAGGGTTTCTCACCAGTGTGAATTCTCTGATGGAGAATAAGTTCTGAGCCATAATTAAAGGCCTTCCCACATTCTTTACATTCATAGCGTTTTCCACCATTATGAATTTTCAGATGTTTAAATTGTGAGCAATGAATAAAAGCCTTCCAGCATTCTTTACATTCACTGCACTTGTTACTATTTTGAATTCTCTGTTGTTCAGTAAGGTATGATGTATTAACAGTTTCTGCACATTCCTTACATTCAGAAAGTTTTTCTTTAGAATGAGTTCTTTTGTGATGACTAAAGAATAAATGGTAACTGAAGTTTTTTCTACATTCTGTACATTCAAAGATTTTCTGTCTATTATAAAATTCCTGAGTGAGTAAAGTATGTTGGCTAAATATGGGCACGTGTTCACGGTTGATAATAAACTGCCTGAAATAGCCCTCCTGTTGTCCCTGTTGTCTCTCAAACTGAATTTTGCATTCCCAAATATCTCTGAAAATGTACTTCTCAGGATTATGGCTTTTAAATTGTTCCATGATTGCCCACTGGGATGATTCTGTCTCATAAATTCTTTTTGGAGCTAACTTCTTGGGCTTACACCTGGACACCAAGTCTGAAAGATAAGAAAGACAATTTAATTGTTGGTTTTGTGTTACAAGAGAAATAAAATATCTATGGTACAAAAGAGAGATAACTGAAAATAATTCACATAAGAAATGAAAGGTTTGGAGAGCTCTTAAATATCGTAATGCAATCGAATGAAAAAATGGTAAGGAGGACACAGAGAAATGAGAGCTCATGATAAAAGTGAGGGAGTTAGTTAACAAGTCAAGGCAATTATTCTGAAATTTTGATCTGCCTCAGAATCACCTTGGGAACTTGTTGCAAGTATGGATATTAAGGAAACATTCTAGATCAACTGAATCAGAATTGACCAGAGTCAGTTTTGGAATGAGATCAACTCACTCAGAATCTACAAGAGGCAGCCGGCCCCGTGGCCCAATGGCTAAGTTCGAGTGCTCCATTTTGGCAGCCCAGGGTTTCACCAGTTCGGATCCTGGGCACGGACATGGTACCGCTCGTCAGGCCATGCTGAGGTGGCATCCCATATGCCACAACCAGAAGGACCCACAACTAAAATATGCAACTATGTACTGAGGGGATTTGGGGAGAAAAATAAAAAGCGGGGGAAAAAAGAAGATTGGCAACAGTTGTTAGCTCAGGTGCTAATCTTTAAAAAAACAAACATACATATGTATATATATATATATATGTGTGTGTGTGTGTGTGTATATATATATATATGTGTATATATATATATATATGTATATATATGGAATAGCCAAAGCATTCCTGAAGAAAAACAAAGTCAGAGAACTTCTCCGACCTATGATAAAGAATTATCATCAAGACTTGTAAATTAAGACAGTGTGGTATTCACATAGGGCTTGACCCATGCAAAGACCAGATACAGACCCACACAGGATACACAGCAGAAGGGTGAGAAGAAAAAATAAATTATTTAATGAATGATATTAGAACAACTAGCTATAGATATGAAAAAACAATTACCTCTGATCCCTAGCATACACCATAAATACATAAAGATAAACTCTAAACGGATTAAAGACTTAGAGAAGTTAAAGGAAAAACTGTAAAGCTTATGGGAAAAAATAAGGATATAAATATAAAAAACACCTCAAGGTAGAATGGATATCTTAAAGACAAAAAGGCTAACTAGAAAAGAGATAAACTAAAAGAAAAATGGGAATAAAATCTGAATAGGCATTTCACAGAAGAGGAAACACCAATGTTAAATAATCATACGCAAAAATGCTCAAACTCATCAGGAAGCAAAGGAATTCAAATTAAAATATAATGAAATACAATTTCATATTCATTACAGTGGTAAAAATTAAAATGTCTAAGAATTTCATTTGTTGTTAAGATGAACCACCAGAATTATCACACACAGCCAGCGGTAACATACATTAGTACCAACACTTAGGAAAAGAATTTAGTGTAATATAACATTGAAGATGTACATGTTCTATGATGTGGCAATTCTAATTCTAGTAAATAGCCTGAAGAAAATCTTGTAGGGAGACATGTGTAAGAATAGTCATAGCACCATTGTATATATTAGCAAAATTTACAAACAATCCAAATTATAACAGCCAGAAAATTGTGGGATGGAGTATTAAACAGCTGTGAAAATGAACTCAGGCATAAAACAGTATGGGAAAATTATTAGAAACCATGTGGTACGAAATAACCAAATCACAGAAGAGACATAAGCATTATCATTTTTAAAAACTCAAAAACAAGCAAAACACAATAAGATAGTGTTTAAGGGCATACACAAGTGTGGTAAACTATTAAAAAACAGAATAGTCATAACAAAATTCAAGATTATGGTTATCTCTGGAGATGTAGCAGGGGACGGGATCAAGGAGAAGCATGCAGGTAGCTTCCTGGCACTGATAACACTCAGCTCTTAACAACTCACCAGACAGATAAGATACCTCAGATTAAATGAAACATTCCATTCTCTCTGGAAAACACCATGACAAGACGCAGAAAGCTCCGTGGTACCAGCTAGTGGGCTACACGCATTCCAAGCTGATCTTAATAGCCAAGTTGCGTGTCTGCCAGAAGTCAGTTGTATTTGTTCCCCTCCTTGTTTATACCACTAGATTAAATGAGTGTGAAAACCAGCTGTTTCACTAAGCTTACTTCTTTGGAAAGACCGGATAATGGCAATTACTTAAGAAAAAGCAAAAATAAAAACTGCTACAAGAAAAAGACTGGCTTTGGGAGGAACAAAAATGAAGTGCTGTGCACTTACATTGTCTATATGATCTTCCTCTTTAGAGAAATCAAAGCAAATCAAAGCAAATATCACAGAAAATGCATATTCTAAGGTTCATTTTATTTATTTATTATTTTACTGAGGTCATATTGGCCTATAACATTGTGTAAATTTCAGGTGTACATTATTATATTTCAGCTTCTCTATAGACTGCGTCACGTTCACCACCAATTGTCTAGTTTTCATCCGTGACCATACATATGTGCCCCTTTACCCCTTTCTTCCTTCTGCCTCCCCCTTCCCCGCTGGTAACCAACAATCTGTTTCTCCTTATCTATGTGTTTGTTTATCTTCCACTTGTGAGTGAAATCATACAGTATTTGTTTTTCTCTGAGTGATCTAAGGGTAACTTAAAAAAGATTTAAAATCTCAACCACACAGATTGTGTAGACTCACATTCCCCTGCTTCTTCCCCTAAATATAACTAAAAATCCTAGAAATTACCTACCAGACAAGAACAAAGGAACTTTAAAAGATGGAATGAAGAAGGTAGACTGGTTAGGATTCTCTGGACTTGAGGAATTACCACATGATAAGTTCCGTGGGATTTCTTTTTATCTCCCATATACCCCTATAACAGGCACTGAAGAGGCCTACACACACACACACACACATACAAATCAAGATATAAGTCTGTTCTCTTCAGCCAAATGACCAGGAACATGCAAGCCCTACAGACCTAGTAGGATCCCCGGCCCCTCTGCACAACCTGGGCCCCAGCAACAGTTTCATCAGCTAGCTGCAGGAGCAGCAAGAAGTCCCAGTGCCTGATCCACCAGCAGCAGCAGCAAGAGGAAGTCTCTCGCTGTCCCAGCCCCTACTTCACAACCAGGGCATTGGCTGACAGATCAATCCACTCAGAAGGGCAGCATTAGCAGAGTCTTGCATCTCCCCACTCGCCACTCAGTGGCATAAGAAAATCCATGCCCAGTGGTGTCTATATCTGCCTCTCCCATTCTGCAGAAAGTGGCCCAGCTACAGTGGGTGTCTGTGGAAGCTTTCTGTCCTTGCAGACAACACCATCAGGGATTGAGTAGGAGCTCCAGCAGTACCAGAGGTATGAAGATCAGAATAACATTGCAAGGGCTCTGAAAACTAAGCTGCCATTAGAACTAAAACCTACAAAAGTAGGCCAGATCTATACACTAAGCCTAACAGGGTGACCACCTGCTAAAATAGAAGATTTAAATAAAATCAAGACTCTCTGAACATGGTAACTAAAATGTCCAGACACACTGAAAATCATACCGAAAGCCAGGAAAACCAAAGTCTGAAGGAGAAAAGATAATCAACTGATACCAATACCAAGATGAATCAGATGTTGGAATTATCTGAAGGATTTTAAAGCAGTCTTCATAAAAAGGCATTGACATTCCAAATTCTCTTGAAACAAATGAAAAAACAGAATATCTCAGAAAAAATAGTGGTTATAAAAGGAACTAAATGGAATGAAAAATATAATAACCATTATAAAAGACACACTGAATGATCTTAAGAGCAGAGCAGAGATGACAGAGGCATTCAGTGAACTTAAAGACAGAATTCACTTAATCTGAACAACAATTAAAAAAACACACTTAAAGAAAAAGAACAGAACCTCAATCCCTGTGGGACAATAACATATCATATGATTACCAGAAAGAGAGGAGAAAAACTGTGAGACTGAAAAAGTATTCAAAGAAATAATGGTTAAAAACTTCTCAAATTTTGTACAAGACACATATCTACAGATTTAAGAAAGTGAGTAAATTCCTAATAAGAAAAATCCAAAGAAACCAAAACCAAGATATACATTTCTGAAAGCTGGACAAAGAAAAAATCTTAAAAAATAGAGAGAAACATACATTATATATTGATAAGAAAGAAACATCAATTTGAAAGACTATGGATTTCTCATGTGAAACCATGGAGACCAAAAGGAAGTGACACAATACTTTCTTAAGTGCTGAAAGAAAAGAACTGTCAATCTCAAATTTCACACCCAGTGAAACTATCCTTAAGGAATGAAGAAGAAACAAAAGGCATTCTCAGACAGAGGAAAACTAAGAGAATTTGTTTTTGCAGACTTGCCCTTAAAGAGCGGCTAAAGGAAGCTCCCCAACACAAAGAAAATGATAATAGAAGAAGGTTGAGACCTTCAGATAGAAAAGAACAATAAGGGCTGGCCTGGTGGTGCAACAGTTAAGTGCGCACGTTCCACTTCTCGGCGGCCTGGGGTTCTCTGGTTTGGATCCGGGTGCGGACACGGCACTGCTTGGCAAAAGCCATGCTGTGGTAGGCGTCCCATGTATAAAGTAGAGGAAGATGGGCATGGATATTAGCTCAGGGCCAGTCTTCCTCAGCAAAAAGAGGAAGATTGGCAGTAGTTGGCAGTAGTTAGCTCAGGAGTAATCTTCCTCAAAGAAAAGAAAAGAAAAGAAAAGAACAATCGAATAGGCAGAAATAGAAGTAAACATAATAGACTATCCTTCATCCCATGAGTTTCTTTAATCCTATTTTATAATTGAAACAAAAATTATAACACTATCTCATGTGGTGATCAATGTCTGTAGAAGAAATACTTAAAACAATTATACTAAAATTGGGCAGGGTAAAGAGACCTAATGGATGTAAGGTTTCTGCACTTCACTTGAAGTGGTAAAATGTCAACACCAGCAGATTATGATTAAGTATGTATACATATGGTAATACCTAGAACAGACACTAAAAACAACAAAAAAAAAAAACCCAAAGCAATATATTAAAAACATTATAAATACATAAAAATGGAACTCTAAAAATATTTGAGTAATTCATAGGTAGGAAAAAAAAAAAGAAACAGAAGAACAGGAAATAGAAGGAACCAGTAGAAAACAACAAAAAGGCAGACTTAAGCCCTAACATATCAATAATTACTTTAAATGCAGATGGTCTAAATCACCAATTAAAAGACAAATTGGCAAAATGGACAAAAACCATGGTGACTACAAGAAACTCCTTTCAAACATAATGATACAGCGAAGTTGAAAGTAAAAGGATAGAAAAATATACATCATGTAAACATTACTCAAAAGAAAGTAGAAATAGCTATATTAATATCAGATAAAGCAGACTTTGGAGTAAAGAAAACTAATCACCACCACCAACAGAGCTTCAAAATACATGAAGCAAAAACTGATACAGCTGAAAGAAGAAATACACAAATTACAGTTATAGCTGGGGACTCAAGTATCCTACTCTCCGCAATTGACAGAACTACTACACAGAAAATCCACAAGGATACAGAAGAGCTGAACAAGACCATCAACCAATAGGATGTAATTAACATTTATGGAACGTGCTGCCCAACAGCAGAATACACAATGTTTTTAAGCACACACTGAACATTCCCCAAGACAGACCATGTTCTGGGTCATGAAGCAAACCTTAAATTTAAAAGAATCAAAATCATATTGAGTATGTTCTGCAATGTACATAGTAAAGAATTTAACCTTACTTAAAGAGAGGTCTGGGTTTTGTCTTCATCTCCAGGGAAGTAATCTCTACAAAGAGTGTCTTTGTTTATGTGGGGCCACGGCCACCAGACATTCTAATAATGGGATTTATGTTGGAGGCTTTGAGCCATGTGGCAGGAATTCTCCTCTGGAGAGACTGAGACTAAAGGTATCAGCTCTACCTCCTCAAGGGCTGGAAATTATAAGTCAGCTACATGGACAGCCAACAAGGAGCCCCAATAAAAATTCTAGATATCAAGGCTCAGGTGAGCTTCCCTATTTGGCAATACTCCATGCATACTATCACACACAGTTGATGGGAAAAGTCAGCACTGTCCATGACCCCACTGGGAGAGGACAACTGGAAGCTCTGCATTCAGAACTCTCGCAGGCTCAGCCCTATGTACTTCTTCCCTTGGCTGATTATAATCTGTATCCTTTTGCTGTAATAAACTGTAACTGTGAGGATGACAGCTTTCTCTGAGTTCCAGGAATCCTTCTAGTGAATTATCAAAGCTGAAGACGGTCTTGGGAACACCTGAAATTGCAATTGGTGTCAGAAGTGAAAGACTCTCGTGGAAAGCTCCCTCTAACTTTCACATGAGACCATAATGGAATCAAACTATAAATCAATAAAAGAAAGACAAGAGGAAAATTTCCAAACACTTCCAAATAACATTTCTACATAATCCATGGGTGAAAGAGAAAATCTCAAAGAAAAAAAATTGTTAAAGGATTATAATGACATATATATATCCTCTATATGCAGGGATATATATATATATCTATCTAGAGAACCTAAAGAACTCTGAAAATTCAACAGTAAAAAACCAATCAGATTTGAAAATGGGCAAAAGATATGAATAGACATTTCAGTGAAGAGGATATACAGATGGCAAATAAACACATGAAAAGATGTTCAACATAATTTTCCATTAAGGAAATTCAAATTAAAACCACAATGAAATATCACTATCCGCCTATACTATGGCTAAAATGAGAAACAGATATAACATGAAATGCTGGCTAGGATTCAGCGCAACTGGGGACCACTCATACATTGCTGATGGGAATGTAAAATGGTACAACCATTGTGGAAAACAGTGTGGCAGCTTACCATACCACCCAGCAATTACATGCTTGAGCTTTATCCCAGACTTATTTACACACACAAACTTTTACATGAATGTAAGGAACATATATATATATATATATATATACATATGTATGTTTATGTTCATATATACGTGTGTGTGTTCATTACATTCATGTACTATATATATACATGAGACAGAGAAAAAAAGTCAATCTCAAAAGGACACATTTTGCAGGATTCCATTTGTGTAACATTCATGAAATAACATAATAATATAGATGTAGAACAGATTAGTGGCTGCCAAGGGCTAAGAATAAGGGAGGATGGGTGTAGCTATAAAGAGGTAACACGAGGGAGTCATGTGGTGATGGTACTGTCTAGCATTTTGACTACTGCAGTGGTGATACAAAGCTCTATGTGATAAAACTGCACAGAGCTATACACACACACACAGACACATACACAACTGAGTGCATGTATAACTAGTGAAATCTGAATAAGTTTCTATGGATTGTACCAATGTCAATTTCTCAGTATGATATTGTATTGTAGTGTGTAAGATGTTAACATTGTGGGAGGCCAGAGGAAGGGCACATGGGACGTCCCTGTTCATTTCTTTGCAATCTCCTCTGAATCTAAAATTATTTCAAAATAAAAGTTTTAAAAAAGAAATCATCACACCTATGCAAAAGGAAAGGCCTGGCCAGGCATCAAAAATTGATAAAGGAATGACATCTTTAAATGAAAACAAAACACTTAGGAGAGTATGTATCAGTTTTCCATGACTCTGTATTGATTTCTTAGCGCTGCCATAACAAAGTACCACAAACTGCTGGCTTAAAACAATAGAAATATACTCTCTCACAGTTCTGGAGTACTACAATGAGTCACAGACGTCATCAAAGACCTCTAAACTGTAGAATGAACCTGCTCTTGGCCTCCAGGACCCTACATCTTCCTAGATGAACTCCTTCCTTCTGAATCATCCCTCTGCCATCTCTACCTCCTCAATGTAGTAATTTTCTTTGACTTTCCCAATTTCCAATCAATCTTAGTTTTCATAAGTATTCCATTAGAACATCTATTCACATGTTCTTGATCCATTGAAAATGTCTTTATAACACTTTAAAAAAATGTATTCCCATCACCTAGCAAAGCAAAACTTGCATGATTTTTTTAAAAAAGATAAGAGGGCTGGCCCGGTGGTGTAGTGGTTAAATTTGCATGTTCCACTTTGGAAACCCAGGGTTCCCAGGTTCAGATCCTGGGCACAAACCTACACACTGCTCATCAAGCCATGCTGTGGTGGTGTCCCACATACAAAACAGAGGAAGACTGGCACAGATGTTAGCTCAGTGACAATCTTCCTCAAGTAAAAAGAGGAAGATTGGCAACAGATATTAGTTCAGGGCCAATCTTCCTCACCAAAAAAAAAAAGAGAGAGAGAGAGAGAAAGAAAAGACAAGAAAAATTAAACATTCTGTTGATTGCATCCTTTGATGAACAGAAGTGTTTAATTTTTTTTAAAGATTGGCACCTGAGCTAACATCTGTTGCCAATCTTTTTTTTCTTTCCTTCTTCTTCTCCCCAAAGACCCCCAGTACATAGTTGTATATTCTAGTTGTGAGTGCCTCTGGTGGTGTTATATGGGATGTTGCCTCAGCATGGCCTGATGAGCGGTGCCATGTCCACACCCAGGATCCAAACCAGTGAAACCCCGGGCTGCCAAAGTGGAGTGTGTGAACTTAACCACTCGGCCATGGGGCCAGCCCCCAGAAGTTCTTAAATGTGAGGTACTCTCATTTGTCTATTTTGCTCTGGTTACCTGTGTCTTGGTGTCATATCCCAGAAATCAGTGCCAAATCCAATGTCATGAAGCTTTCCATTTTCTTCTAGGTATTTTATAGTTTTGAGTCTTATATTTAGTTCTTGATCCATTTTGAGTTAATTTTTATGTATAGCATAAGGTAAGGATCCAACTTTATTCCTTTGCATGTGGATATCCAGTTTTCTCAACAGTGTTTATTAAAGATAGTTATTTCCCCCATTGAACGGTCGTGGCACTCTTGTCTAAAATCATTTGGTCATATATCTGAGTTTATTTCCAAGCTCTCTAGTCTATCTCAGTGATCTATATGTCTCTCTGTATGCCAGTACCACACTGTTTGATTACTACAGCTTTGTAATTAAGTTTTAAAATCAGGTTTTCCCTCCTAATCCGTCTAAAATAACCTTACCAGCCCAACATTCTGAGCAGCTGGCCTACTCCTTGAACAGCTTCCTGCTTCCTGATCAATGCTCACTCACCTGGGCACCTTCCTCCTGTCACTTCCCTCACAACCATCCAGGGCTCCTTCCCTTGCTCCAAGGAGGAGATCACAGCTGGCTTACAAACAGAAAGTCCTGGTTATAAGAAAAGAAATGGAGATCAGGTGGAAATGGAAATACCCCAATACTGTGATTTAAAATTGATTTTAAAAAATAAACTATAGGTCAAAATGGTACTTGATAAGGTCTACAGAAGAAAGGAGAAAGGATGAAATATTCATATCAGGTAAACTCAGAATCATAAGAAACAAAGCAAACAAATAGGTAAGAAATGTTATTTAAATTTATTTAAGCTTTCTCTCTTTATTTTGCTATGAGGAAAAAAGAAACTTCCTGAGATACTTATTCTCAGATATTTTTCAATGTTAAATATTTTCCAAGTCACAAAGTTCTTAGAATGTAACTTTCAAATGCAAACTGTTTAAAAGAGAGTACATTTGTTGTAGGAAATGGAAGTGTTCATTTGAGCTGTAACTAGTGACACTTCTTCATCCAGCCCATCATGACATTAATTAGGAAAACTAAAGAGGTTCACATCCAGGACCCATATGATTAGTTTTAATCTAGGCTAGTACACCTGCAGCTTTAGTACGGTGCAGAGAAACAAAAGAGAAAGCCTGGTTTCTTTGACCACATCGTGCTTTAATGGTACAGAATTCCAATTCTGCTCCTGAATCATCCGGAAGAAAGTCAGTTATAAGAAAGGACCAGAGGAAGGTGTGAGGATGAGGAAAATGAAGGTGCACATCCATTTAGCTGTGCTCATTTCTACACAAAGAGAAAATTCATCTAGTTATTTGAAAGGTAGCCCTAAAATCTATAGGGGAGAAAGCAGAAATTCCAAGAAACAGCTTCTGAATTATTAGAGGCAGCTAACTTTACCCAGTGAAACCAAGTTGCTGTAGTTCTCCAACATCACGTCTTTGTACAAATTCCTCTGCGCGGGGTTCAGGCACTCCCACTCCTCCTGAGACACATCTATAGCCACATCTTGGAACATCACCAACCCCTGAAATGGCAAATCGCAGTCATGTTTTTGAAATTATAAGAAACATTTTACAAAAGGAAGAAGAGGTGCTAAAGGAGGCAGTGCAGGAAAGCACGGGATAGTGAGTGTTATACACTAAGGCTGGGTGACACGGGCGAAAGAGGAACTTAAGGAGACTGAAGCAGAGTGCCTACGTGCTCTTAAACAATTAAGACACATCCTCTTGCACAGAGTGGAAAACTTCTGTTTATCAGTCATCTAGAAATTAAGAAAATAAGCAGAGATTTCCAACTAAGTTAAATAGTTGGAAAATTTGAATCTTTCCAGAATATCTTACAAAAATATCCATATTGAGAAAAGGACTTGAAGATTTTTTTTCATCATTATGACTATCATGTCAAAACCATTTTTACTTTTCATGCAAATTCTTACGTAAACATCTGGTGCAGATTGTATTTTCCCAAAACGGACAGAGCAACATCTCCCACCCCATATGCTCTTCTTCAATGTAATCTTGCCCTGCCCTCTACCCACCCACCATTGGTGTGGGGTCGATGTCCTCTGCCCTCGAACCTGAACCTGGGAGAACACTTGTGACTTACTGAACTTGTAGAGTATAGCAGAAGTGACTATGTGACTTGTGACACTAGATTACAAAAATGTCTCATACTTCTGTCTTACTCTCTTGGGACGCTTGTTCTTGAAGCCCAGTCACCATGCTCCTAGGCAGCCCAAGCAGCCCATGGAATAGCTCATGTGAAAAGGAAGGACAGCCCCCAAACCGCAGCCCTGACTGAGCTCCTAGCTCACATGCAGCAACAACTTGCAAGCAGGTGAGGGAGCCAGCTTGAAAGTGGATCATCCAGCTCCCAGTCAGGCCATCACAGCTGATCCCATGTCAGAACAGCAGTGAGCCATCCCTACTCAGTCCTGTTCAGACTGCAGATTTGAGAGCCAAACTATGATTATTGTTATTTTAATCTACTAAGTTTTGGGGTGGTGATGTAGCAAAAATAGTAGCTTAACATCTTTTTTCCTTAATTGGTAGCATAACATTTGATCTTATAAATAAAATATTTAATCAGTCTCATAAACTTGGACTTCTATGGTGGACAAAATCTCTCAGGTCTTTTCTAAGGCATATATCATTCCACTTTTTGCAATTACACCTGGGAGAGCTTACCTGTTATCATCCAGCACTCTTCCTTGTACACTTTCCATGTTCCTAAGTTAGAGAATACTGATGTAGAATGATCCAGACTCACATAGACGTGACCTAAGTCTAGCATATCCAGTTCAATATAAAATTTGGTTTTGTAACTGGTGCTCATTTATTTCCTGGAAAGACCTTCAATCTTTCTATATGGAAGCACCAATCATATCTCCACCAAATCCTAATGCCTCACAAAGCAAAACGTCTCTCCACCCAGTGAGATCAACCTACACCAATTCTCATAATGTCTAATTGAAAAACTCAAAATTGTGGAGAAGTTCAAAGTTTCCCATGTGTAACTGATTAATCATTTTCCCCTGAGGACACCATTTCCTGGGAGGATATCTCAGGTGTGTGGCTGTTTTTCCTCCTACAATCTTCATACCACTGTCCTCCCTGCCCCTTTGCTTGTATCAGACAACTGTCCCTCAGTCTCTAAAATCTAATGTCATCACTGCATCAGACTATACTATGCATTCTCTCTCCCTGTTGCAGTGACTTGTTGACATCCAGATTTCTGCCCCTCAGGAATTTTAGCTCCTGGCTCAGTGTCCCTATCTCCAACACTACTGCTACCTTAATTCTCAGTGATTCAAATATCCACATACCTATTCCTTCTAGTATCCTGGCCTCCCAGTTCCCTGACTTCCTCTCTACTTCAATGATCTTGTCTTCCACCATAGTTCACTCACTTCTTATGTCACTACTCTAGACCTCATCAGTAGTAGTAACTGCAACATCTGCAAAATATCGAGTAATCCTTCTCTCTGGTCACCTTTATGCTGTCACTCACCACTGTCATACCTCTTCTCCCCTTAAATTCTGTGTTCAGCTAATCACCCAACTTTACAATCACTCCCAATGTGAACTCTCCCTCTAGAGGGCCCAGAAATAAACCCACACATATATGGTCAACTAATTTACAACAAAGGAGCCAAGAATATACAATGAGAAAGGACAATCTCTTCAATAAATGGTATTGGGAAAACTGGACAGCCACATGCCAAAGAATGAAACTTCACCACTGTCTTACATCATACACAAAAATCAACTCAAAATGGATTAAAGACTTGAAAATAAAACCTGAAGCCACAAAACTCCTAGAAGAAAATATAGGTAGTAAGCTCCTTGACATTTGTCTTGGTGATCATTTTTTTGCGTGTGTGAGGAAGACTGGCCCTGAGCTAACATCTGTTGCCAATCCTCCTCTTTTTGCTGGAGGAAGATTGTCGCTGAGCTAACATCTGTGTCAAGCTTCCTCTGTTTTGTATGTGGGATGCTGCCACAGCATGGCTTGATGAGCATGTGTAGGTCTGCCCCCAGGAACTGAACCTGGGCCACCAGAGTGGAGCACACGAACTCAACCACTACACCACCAGGCCGGCTCCCAATGATGATCTTTTTGAATTTGACACCAAGAGCAAAAATAAATAAGTGGGACTACATCAAACTAAAAAGCTTTTTCACAGCAAAGGAAACCACCAAGAAAATGAAAAGGCAACCTACAGAATGGGAGAAAAATTTGCAAAACATGTATCTGATAAGGAGCTAACATCCAAAATATGTAACTCATACAACTCAATAGGAAAAAAAAAATCTGATTAAAAAATGGATAGAGAATCAGAATAGACATTTTTCCAAAGAAGCCATACAGATGACCCACAGGTACACGAAAAGGTGCTCAACGTCACTAATCACCAGGGAAATGGAAACCAAAACCACAGTGAGATATCACCTCACGCCTGTTAGAACAGCTGTTATCAAAAAGACAAGACATAACAAGTGTTGGTAAGGATGTGGAGAAAAGGGAACCCCTGTGCACCATTGGTGGGAATGTAAATTGGTCCAGCCACTATGGAAAACAGAATAGAGGTTTTTCAAAAAATTAAAAATAGAACTACCATGTGATCCAGCAGTTCTACTTCTGAGTATTTATCTGAAGAAAATGAAAACAATAACTCAAAAGATATCTGCACTCCATGTTCACTGCAGCATTATTTACAACTGCCAAGACGTGGAAACAAGCTAAGTATAATCCTGCCATTTGCAACAACATGGATGGACCTTGAGGCCACTATGCTAGGTGAAATAATTCAGAAAGAAAAAGACAAATACCATATGATCTCACTTATATGTGGAATCTAAAAACAGAAAACAAAAAGTCAAACTTATAGATACAGAGAATAGATTGGTGGTTGCCAGAACTGGGAGGAGGTGGGTGGGTGAAATGGATGAAGGTGGTCAAAAAGTATAAACTTCCAGCTATAAAATTAATAAGCCCTGGGGATACAATGTACAGCATGGTGACTATAGTTATTAATACTGTACAGTATATTTGAAAGTTGCTAAAAGAGTAGATCTTAAAAGTTCTCATCACAAGAAAAAATAATTTTAAGTATGTGTGGTGATGGATGTTAACTAGACTTACTGTGGTGATCACTTCATAAGTGACAATATATATATTAAAGCATTATGTTGCATACCTGAAACTAACATAATGTTATGTGTCAATTATATCTCAGTTAAAAAAAATCCCTATCTTTAGCTTACTGATTTGAAATGTCACTTTTATCACAGGTTAAATTACCGTATTTCTGGATGTTCTATTCTGTTCCCTTGATCTATTTATGCTCCAGTGCCATAATGCTTTAAGTATTATGCTTTACATTATGTATAATTATAAGTAATTATCCGATAAAGCTAATTTCTTTTCTTCAGAAGAGATTAACAGAATCCAGAGTCAACAATATACAATGTTTAGTATATAATAAAAGATTAATAGAAATGATTACTAGTAAAGATTACTAGAAATGAAAAAAAGGAAATGTGACCCATACTCAAGCAAAAATCACTTGGGCCAGCCCTGGTTGCTTAGTGGTTAAGTTTGGTGTGCTCTGCTTTGGCAGCACGGGTTCGGTTCCTGGCTGCAGACCTACACCACTCATCTGTCAGTGGCCACATGTTAGCTCAGGGTGAATCTTCCTCAGCAAAAAGTAAAGAAAAGAAAAGAAAAGAAATCACTTAATACAAAATATCCACAAATGATTCAGACGCTGAAATTAGCAGACAAAGACTTGTGAAATTTAGGTATTTTAAAAAAGAACCAAAGGCAAATCCTGAAATTGATAAATGAACTATCTGAAATAAAAAATTAGTTTGATGGGATCTATAGCAGATTAAACACAGTAAAAGAAAAGATCACTAAACTTCAGGACAGGTCTCTAGGAATCACCCACTGAAGCCCAGAGAAAAAAGATTCAAAAAAGAAGTGAACAGAGCCATAATGACCTATGACCCAAGTTACATAAATACAAAGAAACTACACCTATGCTCATTATAATAAAACTTCTGAATACCAAGGATAAGGAAAAAAATCTTAAAAGCAGCCAGACCTTCTCCCCCAAAAAAGATACATCACACAGAGGGGAACAACAATACAAATCAAAGATTAATTCTCATTAATAACAATGGGGGCAAGAAGACAACAAAACACTATCTATAAAATGCTGAAAAAAAGCTGTCAACCTATAATTCTATAGCCAACTAAAATCCTTTAAAATGAAAGTGAAATAAAGTTTGGGGTATTTTGGTTTGTTTTTGAGACCAAAAAAATAGCTGAGAGGATTCTTCACCAGAAGCTATGTCCTACAAAAAATGTTAAAGGAAGTTCTTTGGGTGGAAAAAAAATTGATACTAGGTAAACATTTCCATCCACAGGGAATGAAGAGTGCCAGAAATGGTAAATTTGGATGTGAATAAAGATATTATTTTCATTTCATGATTTATTTAAAAGATAACTGACTATGTAAAGGAGAAAAAGCATGTGTGGTTTAAACATATTTATAAATACAATATACAACAATAATAGCAAAGAAGATGGGAGCGGGAAATAGAAGTATTCAGCTGTAAGATTTCTGCGTTATATGTGAAATTGTATAAAATTACTGGAAGACTCTAGTAAGATTGTTTCTTTAAAGGCACACTGGATACTTTAGAACAAGCCCTAAAACAGTAAAAACAGTACAGCTAATAATGCTATGATGGAGATAAATGAAATACTAAAAAATACAAGACTAATCTAAGAGAAAGCAGGAAAATAGAAAAAAAAGGAAGAAAGAAGGGATGACAAGATGATCGATTAAAACCTAATAATTACATTCAATTTAAAGTCAATCTAGAGGTCAGCAAACTTTTTCTGAAGAGTCAGACAATAAATATTTTAGGCTCTGTGAGTCACATACAGTCCCTATCACATATTTTTCTGTTGGTTTATCTATTTATAACCCTTCAGAAATGCCAAACCATTTTTAGCTTGAGGGTGATACAGAAACAGGCTGTGGACTGGCTGTGGCTGGCATGCTATAGTTTGCCAGCCCCTGGTCTAGATACTTGAAGGCAGAGAGTGTCTGACTGGATAAAAAAGTAGAATCAAACTATATGGTCTTACTTGAGATATAGTTAAAGCAGGTTAAAATAACAGGATGAAAAAAAAGATATGCCATGAAACAACAGTAAAAGGAAGCTGAAGCAGTTACACTAATGAAGAGAGTAGAATTCAAGAAAAATAATATCACCAAAAGGAATATTTCATGATAAAGGGGTCAAATCATCAAGAAGACAGCAATCCTAAATATGCATGTACCTAATAACAGAGCTTCAAAATACATAAAGCAAAAACTGACAGAACTGTAACAGACGAATTCACAATGTTTCAACAGTTCTCTCTCAGTAATTCATACGCCAAGTGATAAAAAATCAGTGAAGACACAGAATAGTGTATCATCACTACAAACAACTTGACCTAACTGATAAAAAGTCTACCCAATAACAGTATAATACCAACTTTTTTTTCAAGTGCACATGGAATATTCACCAAGATAGTCCACATTTTGGGCCATAAAACAAGTCGCAATAAATTTAGAAGAATTGAAATTACACAATATGTTTTCTAACCACAAAAGAAATAAGTTAAAAATGAATTATCAGAAAAATCTGATAAAGTCCCCAAATATTCGGAAGTTAAAGAACACTCTTCTAAATAACCTATGGGGAAAAGAGGAAAGGGAATTTTAAGCTGGAAAGAGAAGAGAAAATTAACCCAACGTATGCAGAAGGAAAGAATAAATAAGGTCAGTAATCAATGAAATAGCAAGGGCAAACTAGAAAGAAAAATCAGTAAAACTAAAAGTTAGTTCTTTGAGAAGATCAATAAAATTGATAAAGTGTTAGTATACTGATCAAGAAAAAAAGACAAATTATCAATATCAGGAATTAAAAAGAGTACCTCACTACATTATATGACAGGCATTTTAAGGATAATAAAGGAATATTATGAACTTTATGCCAATAAATTTGACATCTAAGTTGAAGTAAACTAATTCCTTGAAAGACAAATTACTAAACTGATTCAAGAAGAAATAAAAATCCCCAAAACCCTATATCTATTAAAGAAATTAAAATATCCCCATGAAGAAAACTCCAAACTCAGATGGTAGACTAGTTTTCTACTGCTGCTGCAACAAATCACTACAAATGTTGTAGCTTAAAACAACAGATTTATTACTTTACGGTTCTATAAGTTAGACGTGCAACAAGGGTTTCAGCGGACTATATCAAGGCGCGCGCCTTTCTGGCATTTCCTGGGAGAGTCCATTTCCTTGCCTTTTCTACCTTCCAGAGGCCACTTATATTCCCTGGCTTGTGGCCCCCTTCTTCCATCTTCAAAGCCAGTAAGGTTGCATTTCTCTAACAGAAGTATGCGTATTCCATCCTCACATCTCCCTCTGACACTGGCTCTTCAGATAATCCAAGATAATCTCCCTACCTCAAAACTCTTAACCACATTTGTGAAGTCTCTTTTGCCACGTAAGGTAACATATTCACAGGTAGACATCTTTGGGGGGTCATTATTGTGCCTACCACAGATGCCTTTACTGGTGAATTCTATCAGACAATAAAGGAAGAAATTATACTAATTCTACAAAAAACTCTTCCATAAAATAGAGGAAGAAAGCCTGTTTTCAGATTTATTTTCTAAATTAAGGTAGGATAAAGACATTTTCACATAAAGACAGCTGAGAAGCTTTGTCACTAGATGATATAAACTATAGGGAATGCTAAGGGAATATCTTCAGGCTAAAGAGAAATGACAACAAACAGAAATTCAGATCTCAAAAAGAGAGAGCAATTGAAAATGGTATATTTGTGCTTTCTCCCATTTCTTTCCTGATTCAAGGGTTAGTGATTTATCTTATAGATTTATCTTATTAGTTATAATTATTTCCTATTCTCTAAAGCCTATAATTTTTATCTTTGTAAATCCCTTCCATATTTCCTTTTAACATATATTTTCATTATTTTTTGTTGGAAGAATTTAAAGCTATAACTTTCCTTTAGAGTCTTGCTTTCACTAAATCCCATGGCTTCCAATATGTATTGCTATCACTGATTACCAGAAATTCTTTACTTTTAGATTCTATTTCTTCTTTGATCTAGGAGTTATTAAAACAGATTTTATAAATTGTTGGCAAGAGTAACTATTTTTTCTGATTTTGTTATTAAATTCTAGTTGTATTTCACCGTGTTCAGAGGATACTGTTTATCATTTCTACTTTTTAGACTTTACTGTGGCTTAATATTTTGTCATTTTTTTCCGAATGATTCATGGACACTTGACAAGAATGCACAGTCACTATTATTAGGATACAGAATTTTCTATATTATCAATAAGGTACATTTCATGGAGTATATTATTTAGTACTTCTATATCCTTACTAAATTTTGTCCACTTGGCTTGACTTTGACTGAGAGAGTAAATTAATGTTGCCTACTGCTGGCAAGTGTCAATTTCTTCTTCTATCTGCTCTTCTATTTGCTTTAGGAAGGTTGCTGCTATAATAATTGATGCAAGTGTATTCATAACTATTACATCTTCATTTTGAAATTTACACCTTAGAATTATATAGTGCCCTTCTTTGCCATGTTTAATGGTGTGATAGAACCTGAATTTTAGTCTGTTTTCTTTTAGTTTCCATTTACCTGATGTAATTTGTCCATTTTTTTATTATCCTTTCTGAATCACGTAAATGTCTGATGTAGAGAGTTAAGTTTTTCTTTATGACTCAATCTGAAAGCCTTTTTCTTTTAATAGGTGAACTAAAGCTTATATACATTTATTGATAAGACATATATTTGCTCTTTGGTCTTAGTTTTATCATATAATTATTTTGTGTTCATAAGTATACATATATCTATCTCTGTAAGTATATATATATCAGTGTGTCTTAAGTCTTGCACTATATAAGTTAGTTATTTTGTGACTCTCTCTCTACAAGTTAAGTTCCACTAGGGATGATTTGTATGTGTCTGATTTTTTTTCCCCACTGATTTATTCCTAGTTACCCAGAAGAGTGCCTATCACATAGTAGGTACTCAATAAATATGTTAATATTTCAAACCAAAGTTCTGACAAGAGAAACATTAATATTTCCCTCAAAACAAGTATTTCTGTTCTCTCCTTGTGCCTGGCAGAAGACAGCATATGAGAAATGAGGAATGATTAATTGACTAAGTAGATGAACGGTGGTTAGAGAAGAAAGGAGCAAAACAAGGAAAAACCTGAATTTCTGGCACCATCACTTACTCACTCACTAGTAAGTTATTGTAGAAGATCCAGTTAGGTAACAACATCAGGATAAAAAATGCAAATATTCATATGAACTACAGAAAAAAAGAATACTTCAGTTAGGAACAAGAAAATACCAACTTACATGGTCCATGGCTTTTTTTAGAATTCAATGTATTTATTAGTTCTCTTCTTGGTTCCACTTTAGAAGAAAATCAGAGTCCAAAGAAAGTGTTGCTGGATGAGAGCAGTTTAAAAAAAAAAACATAAGATGGTTTTGTCTCTGAGTTCCCAAAGTGCTAATTTAGACTGGCAGTTTTCTTGCCCCTTCATGTCTCCTATTCCTGGTCCCTATACACACATATGTAATAAATCAGAGAGAAGTTGGACAAATCCCAACTTTACTCCAAACAAGGAGGGAACCCAGCTACAGCAGGATGGATTCAGGGAAGACCGGGCCCAAGTTCTTTAGCAGGAGGGATTTAGAGAGGCAGACCAGGGTCCCCACACTACGATGAAATGGACCCAAGTGACCTGCTCAGACCTATCCTGACCAGATCCTCACAGAATTAGGAGGAAAAAGAAAAGGAAATGGACATTATGAAAATATCAGGGAAACAGGAAATGACCCAAAATACCTAATATACCTGTAACAGGAATTTAAAAAATAGAGACTAAAACAACAAAGAAGGAAAAGAAGAAATAAATAGAACAAAAATTTCCGGAGCAAAATAAATAGTGAGTTTTTAGTTTGAAGTACCGGTGAGAATTAAAGAATCAGACCTGGAAGCATCCTGGAAAATCTTTGGCAATTTAATCCCTGAACACAGACAAAAAGACCTAAATATCTTCTAATAAAAATTACAAAAAAAAAAAAATTACAAAACAATGTGTATTGTAGTCTAATCTTTGGGGAAAAAATTCCTATGTACATAAGCATATATATGCATATTAAAGAGGGTGAAAGCATTTGCAGTAAAATGTTCAGAGTGGTTGAGAACTATAGATAACTTCTACTTTAAATAATTTAACAAAGGAATGTTAAAACTTAATATGAACATTTCAGATAAGTAGCACCTGATCATTTTAGACACTGTTTTTGAATGTGCAACAGTGCCATTCTTTACTCCTGTTCTAGGCGTTTCTAAGAGGAACGGCAGAAGCAGTGAGCTAGAGAATTATGAGACACCAGGCCTTTCTTGGAGCTCAAACTTTGTGTGACCTTGAGTGTGGTGTCAAGCAGACGTTGTCTGTGACCACGGTAACTATGTTTCTATGATTCCTGGTGATATGTGTGAGATCTTCGGGTAACTATTGGGGATGAGTACTAAGTGGGTAGTTTTTTTACCGTATATGTGGCTTTGTCTGGGGCTGTGAGATGATGATATACATGGGATGGATTTTGAGATTTTGGCTTTGTGTCGTGTGTATGAATCTACAGGTGCTACTGGAATGTCTCCCTAACTGCCTGATTGCGTGATCCTGGGGGTAACGTTTGTGTAAATGCGCTTTTCTTTTATGTAAGTAAATGGGGCTTACACAAATAACCACCCGCAGTCGTGGTCACAATCACATACAAACTCCATTCACACAAACGGTCAAGCACACAATTACACTGTCACAAAAGCACGATCACGAATCCAGGCTCTGTCACAACAAACACACGAACACTTAGTGCGGACACAAACTCGAGTTTCTCACGCACTCACAGCAACTCAGTCCACCTCCCCCGGGCTGCCCCCGCACTTAAAGGCCTAATAGTCCACACTCCTCCTGCCCGGCCCTGGGGCTCTCGGATTCCTCACCTTCAGCATCCCCAGGAAGGGCTCTGGGCTGAGTCCTGATTCGACTCCAGGTGAGGCCGCAGGCCGAGCCCGGCCTACGAGACAGGACCAGGGTAGCACCTGCCTCTGCGGACCACTCCGCCGCCGGCCCCACCGGAAGTAGGTGCACAGCTGCGGCCTCTGGGAAACGTAGTCCAGAGGAAGGAGGCGGGAGCGAGCGACGTAGGTCCTCTGCCGCTCTTCGGGCTGCACCTCAGCAGTTTCACTCGGGTGTGGAGTGACGCTGCGACCTCCCCGTCTCCGCGGCTTAGGCCCTGGTTTTCCGTCTGAATTCGGGACCTCGGATCTCTCTGAGGACAGATTTCAGGCTTGGCACAATGGCTGTCCCAGCACCTCAAAGGGGACGCGCGCGTGCGCTGGCTCGGAGTTGTCTGCTGCGGAAGGATCCGGCTCAGGGCGCGCGGTTGCCCTGAATTTGTTTTCTAAGTCCACACGTGTTTTCTAAGTGTGGCCGAGGGTGAGTATGGTCGAGAGGGAGAGGATGTGTGTCACCGACTGTGCAGGTGGGCAAGCGTGAGGAAATCCGTATGTTAAACGGGTTTGAGACCGTTAGGGATAGCGGATGCGCGGTCTGGCCGGGCGGGTTCAGGCGGTGGGCTGGGCCGCCGGTGACTGTGACGTGGTGTGACGTGACGAGCCCGTGAGGCCGGGGGACTGAGGACGCGTGCTTGCCGGCGGCGCCACGCGGCGGTGACCTTGAAACCTCCAGTGGGAGGCTGTGCTGGGGCTGCCTGTGACTGGCCGACGGGTTTAGCTGTGGCGTGTGTCCGTAAGTTCCTTGGGAGAAGGGGGGAAGCTGGTCTTTCGGGACCGGGAGGGGCCCAGGTGGATGAATCACAGATCCCTGGGGAAGGGCCAGCTGGTCCTGAGCCTTACACGTGTGCATGGGAGAGGTGTGCGGTGACATTGTGTGCCTGTGAGGGGGGGGAGAGAGAGACCAGTATTGACTGAGAGGGGTGGAAGCTAGTCCAGATTATCTGCCAGAAGGGACAAGTCTATGGGAAAGATTTTTAACCTCGATGAAAGGCCAGGAACTGCACCTCTAAGTACGATGGGAGCAAATGTATCTGTGAGAACAAGTGGTCGTGTTTGTGTGTGAGTCTTGGTCACCTGTGTGAGGTGGTTTGCACCTGAGACTACTGTCCCTGGAAGAGGGCGTTGAGTGAAACAGGTGCAGTATGTGCCAGTGGTTTGTGACTGTACCCAAGTCTCCGGATGAACTGTATGACAGTGAAAGAGCAGGTGACTATAACGTTATGACTTTGAAGTTGATGTGTGAGGTTTAACTGAGTGTGATTGAGTGGGAGATCATGTGAGAGATTTGGTGTGTTTTTGTGTGTTTGCAACTTAGGCAAGTTAAAATCTCGATGGAAGATTGTGATTGTGATCTGAATGTAGTAACTATATGAGACTGAAATATTATGAATGTGTGAGGTTGAGGATGAGGAGATACCTACTCTAAACCTCACTTTACTTACCTCTAAAAAGATAAGGGTTAAGCTTCTTGAAGTATCAGTTTTACTTGAAAATTAAATTTTCAGCAGAAATTTTTAAAAATCTAAGACTAAAACATGATTTTAAAAATATGAAATAGTAATTTATTGTGATAAAGAATGCAAAATGACCATGAAAGAAGGTTTCAAAAAAAAAAAATCTCTGTTACAGGGTAACTGGGAATATGGTTGGTATTCTTTGGTGGAGGTAAAATAGATGGGCAATTTACTAAATTCTTACTCCATCTGTATAAGCAGAAGAGTTCTAGGTCAAGCGAACAAAAACCTAACGTGAATAATAAAAACAGTGTCATGGCCCCTCAATCAGCTCCCAGAGTTGACCCTGTGTACAGACCCAGAACCCCTTAAATGAAAGACCCTGCTACATTGCCAAAAATTAATTTAATTTTTCCCCAAGCCTTCCCAAAGGAACCTATCCCCTTTACCAGGGTGACTGTACATTGAGGAAAAGGAAATAATCTGAACTTTGAGGTACTGAAAGGACGCTGGCTCTGAACTGACACTAATTGCAGGAGACCCAGAACATCACTGTGGCCTACCAGTCAGAGTAGGGGCTTATGGAGGTCAGATGATCAATGGAGGTTTAGCTCAGGTGCATCTACTGGTGGGCCCAATGGTGCTCCAACCCATCCTGTGTTTTTTCCCCCTAGTTCTAGAATGGATAATGGAATAGGCATACTCGGCAACTGTCAGAATCCCCACATTAGTTCTCTCACCTGTTGAGTGATGGCTGTTATGGTGGAAAAAGACACATGGAAGCTACTAGAACTGCCTCTATCTAGAACACTAGTAAAGTAAAAGAAATACTGCATTCCTGGAGGGACTGCAGAGATTGGTGCCACCATTAAGCACTTAAAAGATGCAGAGAGGTGATTCCCACCACATCCCCATGCAACTTGCCTGTCTGGCTTGTGCAGAAGACAGATGGCTCTTGGAGAATGAAGATGGATTATCGTACCAGGTGGTGACTCCAATTGCAGCTGCTGTAACACATATGACTTCATTGCTTGAGCAAATTAACACATCCTCTGGTACCTGGTATGCAACTGTTGGTCTGGGAAATGTTTTTTTCCCTCCATCTCTGTTAATAAAGACAACCAGAAGCAGTTTGCTTTCAGCTGGCAAGGTGAAGTGCAGCACTACACCTTTAATGTCCTGCCTCAGGGGTACATCAGCTCTCCAGCTATATGTCATAAATTAGTTCACAGGGATCTTGATTACCTTTCTCTTCCAGATGTCACACTGGTCCATTACACTGATGGCATTATGCTGATTGGACCTATCAAACCTAGGGGACCTTTGCTCGTGTAGTGAGCAAAAAGTGGCCACTACTCTAGACTTATTGGTAAGACATTTGTGTGTCAGAGGGTGAGAAATAAATCCAAGAAAAACTCGGGCCTTCTACCTCTGAAATCTCTAGGGATCCAGTGGTGTAGGGTATGTCAAGATATCCTTTCTGAGGTGAGGGATAAGTTGTTGTTGCATCTGGCCCCCGCCCACAACTAAAAAAAAAAGGCGCAAAGTTTCGTGGGCCTTTTGGAGGCAACATATTCCTCATTTGGGTGTGTTACTCTGGCCTAATTACTGAGTGACCTGAAAAGCTGCTAGTTTTAAGTAGGGCCCAGAACAAGAGAAGGCTCGGCAACTCTGCAACAGGTCGAGACTACTGTACGTGCTGCTTTGCCACTTGGCCATATGGCCCAGCAGATCTAATGGTGCTTGAAGTATCAGTGGCAGATAGGGATGCTGTCTGGAGCCTTTGGCAGGCCCCTATAGGTGAATCACACAGAGCAGGCCCTTAGGCTTTTGAAGCAAAGCCCTGCCAAAAGAAACAGATTTTGATGTGCTACTGGGCCTTAGTAGAGACTGAACACTTAACCATGCGCCGCCAAGTTACCATGTGACTTGAGCTGCCCATCATGAACTGGAGGTTATCTGACCCAAGAAGCCATTAAGTTGGGTGCACATAGCATCACTCCACCCTTAAATGGAAGTAGTATAAACGTCATCAGGCTGAGAAGGCCCTGAAAGCACAAGCAGTTCTCTTGTTGGGTGGAACTTGAAGGAATGCACCTGGTTGTTTATTTTGCTTGGAAGGAGAAATGGCCAGATTTGTGATTATATAGCTGTTCATGGGCTGTGGCCAGTGGTTTGGCTGGATGGCCAGGGAGTTGGAAGGAACATGATTGGAAAATCGGTGTCAAGGAAGTCTGGGAAAGAGGTGTGGACCTCTCTGACTGGGTAAAAGTGAAGATATTTGAAAAAAAAAAAAAAAAAAAAAGTGAAGCTATTTGTGTCCTATGTATGCTCACCAAAGGAGGATTTTTATAAAGTGGATAGGATGACCCATTCTGTGAATACCACTCAAATTCTTTCCTCAGCCACCCGTCATCACCCAGGGGGCTCATGAACAAAGTGGCTGTGGTGGCAGTAATGGAGGACACATATGGGTTCAGCAACATAGGCTTCCATTCACCAAGGCTGACATCCCTACGGCCACTGTTGAATGCCCAGTCTGCCAGCAGCAGAGACCAACACTCAGTCCCTGATACGGCATCATTCCCTAGTGGCAGGTTGATTACATTGGACTGCTTCATCATGGAAGGGGCAGCATTTTGTTCTTGCTGGAATAGACACTCTAGATACAAATTTGTCTTTACTGCACATAATGCTTCTGCCCAAACTACTATCCGTGAACCTGCAGAATGGCTTATCCATTATCCTGGTATTCCCTGCAGCTTTGCTTCTGATCAAGGAACTCCTGTCACAGAAAATGAAGTGCAGCAATGGGCCCATCCTCATGGAATTCACTAGTCTTACTATGTTCCCCACCATCCTAAAGCAGCTGACTTGATGGAAGAGTGGAATGATCTTTAGAAGACTCAGTTACAATGCCAGCTAGATGCCAGTACCTTGCAGGGCTGGGGCAAGGTTCTCCAGAAAGCTGTATATGCTCTGGATCAGTGTCCAATATCTGGAGCTGTTTCTCACATTGCCACGATTCATGAGGCCAGGAATCAAGGGGTAGAAATGGGAGTGACAGCACTCATTATTACCCCTAGTGACCCAGCAGCAAAATTTTGCTACCTGTCCCCACAGCCTATGCTCTGCTGCCCCAGAGCTGTTGGTTCCAAAGGGAGAGATGCTTCTCCCAGGAGATACAATGATTCCATTGAACTGGAAGTTAAGACTGCTGCCCGGCCACTCTGGGCTCCTCATCCCTCTGAATCAATAGGCAAAGAAGGGAGTTACTCTGCTGACTGGGGTTACTGATCCTTACTAACAAGGGAAGTTGGACTGCTGCTCCACGGGGAGGTAAGGAAGAGTATGCCTGGAGTACAGGAGATTCTTTGGGCATCTCTTAGTATTACTGTGCCCTTGATAACAGTGAATGGAAAACTACAACTCTATTCAGGCAGGATTACTGATGGGCCAGATCCTTCAAGAATGAATGTTTGGGTCATCTCACCAAGTAAGAAGCACAGCCAGCTGAGGCGCTTGCTGAGGGCAAAGGGAATACGGAATGGGTCGTGGAAGAAGGTAGCTATAAATGCCAACTATTACCATGTGACCAGCTTCAGAAGTAAGGACTGTAACTGTCATGAATTTTTTTCCCTTATTTTCTTGTGTGTGTATATATATATATATCAAATATCTCTGTTTTCTTCCCTTTTTATCCATTTATCATGTAACATAAAATGTACTTACCTTATATCATAGTATTGAAGTATTGTTAACTTTACAGCATGATACTTAAGTTATGGGATATCAAGGAGAAGAGTAAACATCACCCAAGGACTCTGCATCCTCTTCTGGGGATAGGGTTCGTGTGTTTTTTGGTTGCATGCAGGACAGTTGTATCATGTTAGGTCATGGAAGTATGACCTTGTTACTGTCTTTATTTGGAGATAAAATAAGGTTTAAGGAGATGCGTATAGGTGCCAAGTTGACAAGGAGTGGACCTATGATGATTAATTTTATGTGTCAACTTGGCTGGGCCACAACGTCCAGATATTTGGTCAAACATCATTCTGGATGCTTCTGTGAAGGTGTTTTTGGATGAAATTAAGTCAGTAGACTCTAAGTAGAGTTTACCCTCCATAATTTGAGTGGGCCTCATCCAATCAGTTGAAGACCTTAATAAAACAAAGACTGACCTCTCCCAGAGCAAGAAGGAACTCTGCTAGCAGACAACTTTTG